ACACACACACACACACACACACACACACACACACACACACACACACCCACACACACACACACACACACACATTAATGTAGTGTTCTGTTCATTGTCAGCACTGTTCCCTCCATCAGAAATTCCTCATCAGTCTTTAAAAAGTTCCCACTCTTTGCACAAAGTAAATAACTCAAAGTCTAATGTTCTTCCAGGAGACATGCTGCGTTACCTTCAGGAGAGTCGAGAGCGAGCAGCAGAGATGATCCGCACCGAGGTGCAGAGGGAGAGGCAGGACACTGCCAGGAAGATGCGACGCTATTACCTGACCTGTCTGCAGGAGTTACTGGAGGACGGGAGCAGGGCCACGGGGCGAGGAGCTTTAATTGTCCTGAACTTGTTACCTCCCTTCAGCATCGCTCCTCGGGCTAATCGTATCCATCTCTCTGTCTTCTGCAGGGCTGAAAAGAAAATAATGAACGCCGCGAGCAAGCTGGCAGCCATGGCTAAAGTGTTGGAAACACCCGTCAAAAGTCAACCTCGAAAGAATTACGGTTTACCAAGTGAGTCCCTGAGAGATCTGCTTTACTTTTTGATTATTGTCAGAAAGTATTTATTTATTTATTTAATTCATTTATTCGTTTCATTTCATTTAAAAATAAAAATGTTATACACAACAAAGAAGAATCAGTGCAGCCGTGTTTTTGGGTTGTCAGGTTTGACGGCTGAGTGTACCACCTCTGGTGGGGCGCCGGGTCGGCCCGCAGGTCTCTGTAAGACTCTGTCGACACTAAATGAAATCCCTGATACCAGACCAGAGGAGAGATCCAACAGGGAAAAGACTTCTGCTGATCCAGGACAGAAATCAACGATCAGGACTAAGCCTCCAGGCCCGCAGGACACTCGAGCATCTCAGCAGGACTCGGTGGAAAAACCCAAACGGCCTGAACCGTCTCACGCAAACCCCGCCTCCTCTCAGAAAACGCCTCGGTCCCATGTGGAGTTCGTCAGCTTGTCTGTGAGGGGTAACGGCTTGGAGTGGCGCCTGCAGGAAGGGAACCCCAACAAAGCCGACGCCTGCCTGGAGTCAGGGCTGCAGGGCAGACCTCTTCTCACCCAGGAGACCCCCGTCAGAGAGGAGAAACGGACCGACTGGAGCGTGGCTAGCTGCGACTCGGACGCAGCGTTTAGACTGTCCTACTGTGGGAGGAAAGTGGAACCGGTCAGGCCCTTTTCCATGTCGGCCGGGTCGGCCAACGAAACGGGAGAGTTCAGCGGTCTCACGCCTGACGTTTCCAACCGAACAGTTTATAACCAGGTTCCAGAGAAGACGAGTGGAAACAACCCTCACACCAAGAAGAGTCTGGTCCGAGAGCCCATCCCTGGTTCTGAATGTGAGGGCGAGCTGGGCCTCGGCCCCCGGCCGCAGTTCTCTGAGCTGAGGCAGCGGCAGCAGGACAGCGGCTTCGACAGTCCCTTCTACCAGCAGCACTGAGACACAAAGCCCAGGGATGAAGATGAAGGCTCAGAGGTGACTTTTCAAATAGTTTTTAATTGTGCCTTTAATGTGTATTTTCTTTTTTTTTTTTAAAGCCTGCTGTGAGTTTTCTATGTTCAGAAATGCTTGTTTTTTGTGCTCGATCTGTAAAAAGATCAGCACGTTTTGATCCCTTATGCATCAGCAGCTTGTTTATTCCAAAAAAAAGATGTCAGAATAAGTTCACAGCTGCTCATTTTTGACCCTCTTTGACTTTGTGCAGATTAAAGCAACAGAGTGGTAAAAGTTGGGTGCTATAGAAAGAAGAGTTGTTAATTATTGAGCCTAAAGGTTGGTGTCTGATGGACTTTGCTGCCTGTAGACAATCAAACTGTGACCTTATCTCCTGCTGCTGATTTCAGCTCTGTATTAACTCGTATATCTGGTTGGGCTATTGATCTTCTTATCAGAGTCTCAAGAAAAAAGCAAGTAAGCATCTTTCCCCCAAAATACCACCAGTACAGTTTTATATTGTGTAGTTTTACTCCCAATAAGTTATATTTTATTACCAAAACTGAAGCCGAACGTTAAAACAAAAAAACTGCTCGTCCAGGTTTTTATAGTCAAATCTGTGTTCGTCTGATCAGGTAGAAGTTTCTTTAAAGGCAGCGTTTGCATTTTTAAAAGCAGCACATGATGCAGCGTTCTGTCATGAGTTTATTTTATTTTCAGGTCTGAGTTTGTCATTTCTGTGAAACAAAAAGCTGTTTTCTGTCCCAGTGTTTGATGTTAAATGTTTTATCACTGTTTAATAAGATGTGCTGTGCATATTTGTTCATGTTTTACTATATTTATACGTATTTGTATATTTTTGTTGTTCTTTTAATAAATCTTGTATTTTTACAAACTAAAAGAATGATATCTGAGTTGTCATATGAGCTGAATGTCAAACATCATCGCCTCACGTACAGTAAATTTAAATAAATCTAAAAGTATTAAACACGAGCCTTAAAAATGAAACATTTGCTGAATAAATCGGTAGAAAATTTGTTTTTAAGGCTTGTTTACTCAAACATTTTTACTTTCTTTAAAAAATGTGTAAAATGTCAAGATTAAAGTGAATTCAAATCCGTATTTTACTTGTTAAAACAGAACTTAGACTTTTCTGACTCATTTGTTTAAATTACAGTTACTTATAGAACACTAATAATGTTATAATATTTATAGTTGTATCATTTTTGCAGTATACTTTGACACATTTTTCTTAGATTTTTGTGCATTTATCAGTTCAAATGCATTAAATAAAAATATAATTGTCCCCCCACACAGGAAACTATTAAATTAATCACTTTTTTGTTTTTGCTACATTAGATGTTTTCATACAATTCTTTTTTTTTTTTTTACCACAAAAAGCTAAAATAAAATTCTTGTGTTTAACAGCTGTTGGTGATAGATGAAGACCTTTAATCTTTAGATTCAGATATTGTTTTTCTGTAATGCACGTTTTAAAGAAGCTCTTTGAATTGTGGGAACTTTAAATCCACTCAGGAGTTCTTGTCAAACAGCTACTTAAAAACATCCGCTGTCACATTTTAAACATCTACTACTTCTTTCAAATATGTTTTTTTTTCTCAAACTTTCACAACTTTTTTCGTATTTTTATTTTTGTGAGAACTTCTGTGGTTTGTTTCCTGCAGAGATCAGCTGTTGGCGAACTTTTATTTTGAAAGCTTGAGTTTTGTTCTTTAACAGAAGCAGTTTGTGTTTAACATCCCAGAGTCCAGCAGTTTGCACATAAAGAGCAACATGTGAGACACTTCAGGTGTGTGCAGTAAAATGAACAGATGAACTCTTTTCTCCAGCAGCAGACATCACTCGTCTCAAAGCGCCGACTCGGACTCCAGAAGCTCCAGAAGATGGGATTTATAACCGCCTCCTCTCCATCACTGCTGCAGGCAGAGGGCTACTCAAACACACATTTCTCTGATAAACTGCCAAACAAAAGCTCCAACAGCAGATTGTTCCTGTTGTCAGCAGATCATTGACCGTTACTGTAGAGGTTTTCATTTTCTCTGCCTCTGACTGAAACACTGTCTTATTTTTATTTATTTATTTTTAGTTACACTTCTATATTTAGCCAAGAGTTAACATTGTGCACATATATGAAGAAAAAAGCTGGAAATATACTGGCAGCTTAAAGTGCCTGTGACATCAACATTTTATAACTTTTTGAAAGATAATGTTAATTTTGCAAAAAAAAGCACATCGCTGAGATGAACAGTGGAGAAACATTCAGTAACAGGAAGTGATGTCAAAGAGAAATGTCTTGTTACAAAGGTTAACAACACAGACCGTAGAGAAGAATCTGAGGTTTCTTTAGATTATTTTTGAGTCATCAAAGAGATGAAGAGTCAGAGTTCAAATAGTTTCAACAAACAAAGTCTAGAGTTCCTTTTCTTGAAGAGTTACTTTTGATGTCACTTCCTGTTTCACTTTGGCTGAGCCCAGTTTACAAGAAAAATACTTGCTATGTGACAAAATGAGTAAAATGGTGTGTTGTGCAAAGTTTTTTTTAATACAACTTTTTTTTTACTTTTTGGCGCACGTCACAGGCACTTTAAATGTGGTGTCTGATTTAACTCCATGTCTTTGGTTTTAGGACAGGGCTATTCAACTAAACTGCTCCGGGGCCACAGTTACTGCCGGTCAACAGCTGAGGGGCCGAACATCCAGCAATTAAAGTTATTATGTAAATAAACCAAGTATTACAAAGATCTGTTACCTTTAAATTAGTTTATTTTGTTGCATTTAATCATGAATACAACATACAGAACCCTATAAAAGTAGTGATAATTAAACATTATCAAAAACAAAAAGAACACATTCTGCCTCCTATTTGACACAAATAATACTTTGACATCTCTGATTGCCAATTTTTTTAAAACACTTTTATTTTCACTTTCATCATTTTATCTTCAACTGCTTGTAGTTTTAACTGTCTAGAGTGTTCATAGAAATGGTTTTTACCAGCTTCTGGCCAGGATTCTGACGTTTCTGTAGACACCAAACATGTCTGTTTAACCAAAAGAACTTAGAGTAATTAAAGTAGAAAACCAGGTTTGGGCATAAGAGATGAATGAACCAATTGGCGGGCCGAACTTTGGTCACTCGCGGGCCGGATGTGGCCCGCGGGCCGCCAGTTGAATAGCCCTGTTTTAGGAGAAAACTAAAAGTGTAAAAATGCTAATGAATACATTTCAGACAGATGTGCAGCATCTGTTTCAGCCTATACTTAACGTCAGGTAAGGTTGAGTCGTATCACACCAGTGATGGTGAGAGGTCAGCGTGTTATTGCCCCAGGACACAACGACTGAGTCGAGTGGACGGGGATCGAACCGACGACCTTCCGGTTCCAGGACGACTCCCCTAACCACTCCATCACAGCCGGATGAACATTCTGAACTGATAGACTTTTGATCTCAGCTCAAATTGGGTCGTTAAATAATATAAATGTAATTATAGTCTAACTTAAAGGTCACATATGGATTTAACAACCTTCCTGTTACATTACTTCTGAGTTTACAGATTTCACAGAACAAAAAGTGACTTTTACCTTTAACCTGATGAACTTTGTGAATAAAACCAGAAAGAACAGCTGAGTCTTTAAACTCTGTGTTTACACTGTGGAAGTCAACAAAAGTTAATGTCCTGTCCTAAACTTTGACTCAGTTCTTTAACTTTCTACAAAAGTAGCTGTGCTTGTCCTGGACCTCGTGTCCTAATAAAGTCCAATTCAAAACGTAGACTCAGCAGCAGTCAGATGATTTACAAACTAAAGAAAATGTGGATAAAAATGTTATTTGACATGGAGAATAGATCAGCAGCTGAAGGCCAGAACACACCAGGCTTTAGTCCAAACATTTCTTCCATCATTGTTTTTGTTTTAATTCATATTATTTAAGTTTTTTTTTATTATTAAACTACAATCCATTGCTAAGACAGAGTCAGAAATGTTTTACTTCGTAAATACATGTTGAAGAAATAAATTGTTCTGGTGGAAAATCAAGATTAACTGAGTGCCAACCAAAACATTAAAACTGAATGTTGCTTAAAAATCTGTATGGTAAACATTTTATCATATAATACAAATCATTTTAGCAGGATAAGTTAGAGATCAAGATTTGTTTTAATTAATGCAGTTGATAGTTGATGGACAACATAGATTTTTTTCTTTTATATTTTTTAACACAGTAATCAGAACTCAACGCTGAACTTTTAACAAATAAACATTTTACTAAAAAGAGGAGAAAACAGAATTTGTCTTTTGAGATTTTATTACAAAAATAATTAACCAGAGGCACAGAATTGTCAACAACAATAGTAAAAACTGACAATCAAATAATAAAGAATTAAAATTTGGAGAATAATATTATGAAGTAGTTTGTTAAGCAGTATTTAATCAAAGATTAACTCTCATTTAGCAAAACTTAAAAGATTTGTTACAGACAAATAATTTTTGTTTTAAGTTCAATAATTTAATTAGAATTTCATTCAGATTATTAGGTTATTTAAAGAACTGCATGTGTAGGAGATTAAGTTGAGATGAGTCAAACATAAACAGGTCATCTTATCCTGACGTGGGCCTTCATGTTGACTTGTTGCTGTTTTGACATGATATTCTTTCAGATGGTAATACAACAGATTGTTCTCCACTTCCTGCGCTGACAGTGTGACTCCAGATAACAAATCAATGCCTGATAAAAGTTCATCACAGTGCTGGTGGATGGTTAAAACACAAAACTGTGAACTTTCACTCATTGCTGGATTAGACTCAGCGTATCGTCTGTGTCACACATTGAAGTGTGACACTTCCTGTTAGTGTTTGATCACTTGACGTGTTCAACACTGTGCTGCTGGTTTGAAACGCTGGGATCATTTCTGCTGCAGGGCAGACTTTCATCAGATAAATGTGTGAAATAGATTATCGTGACACATTTTTCTAAGAGGCAATAGCGTCTTTTCTTGTGTGTGAACTTTAGCAGTGATTTTCTCCACCTCATAAAATGACTTTACTGCTTATGAGACTCAGGTTTTCTCAGTGTGAGTTTTGTTTCAGTTGTATAAAGTTGTTTTTGTGTACCCTCTAACAAAAACTCTAACTTAATTACAAGTGACTTAATGTAAAGTAAACTACACAGAACTGCTAAAAAACTGTAAAAGTAACGAGTTTCACTCTCTGTTCATACAAGGAGCAGCCATGTTGAAATAACGACGTAATGCGTGCTCGCGCTGCTCGGGTATGGTCGTGTTGCTCCGACCCCTTGACTCAAAAATTACAACTCGGAAATGCGAAACTATACGACCTCTGAGGACAACTGGAACGCAGCATTAGCATCTCATAGACTTAGCATTTAAAATAGCATCTCATACACTTAGCATTTAAAATAGCATCTCATAGACTTAGCATTTAAAATAGCATCTCATAGACTAGCATTTAAAATAGCATCTCATTGACTTAGCCTTTAAAATAGCATCTCATACACTTAGCATTTAAAATAGCATCTCATTGACTTAGCGTTTAAAATAGCATCTCATACACTTAGCATTTAAAATAGCATCTCATAGACTTGGCATTTAAAATAGCGTCTCATAGACTTAGCCTTTAAAATAGCATCTCATAGACTTAGCCTTTAAAATAGCATCTCATAGACTTAGC